GATAATTGGCGAGTGTGATGTTTTATGTTGGAATTTAATGGATAGAAGTTGATTGGACAATAGGAATGTAATAGCATTTGGTTGAGTTGAGTGTTGAGGAGTTGATTACTTGTTGGGTGGCTTGAACATTCTTCTAATTAATTTAAGACATTTGAATAGTTTCTGAGAAACCCGAGAGTTGATAATTCTTGTGCGGTTTGACGGATGCCTAGACGGACGCGGGTGGCGACGGACTCTGTTTGATTTGAACTCGATGAAAGGCCGATTTTCAGGGAAACTTTTGGGGGAATCTAATTCTTGTTGAACTCTATAAATAATGGTGAGATGAGGGTTTATAGATCAAGTAAGAGTGGCATTGAGATCTTGCAATTTCCAACGATCTCGTCTGAAATAATTTTGGGAGAGTTTTGAGATCTCATGTCTCTTCTGATTGTGATCCTCGCCTTCTTCTCTCGCTGTTCTCTGTTTCTGAAGAATAAAGAGGGATCATCTGCTGCTGTTCAAGGATGTATGACTTCCTCCAAAGCTTGTTAGATGTGTGTGCTTTCAATTGTTATATGTTTGTTCCTTGATCGCGATGTCTGTCCATTTTGCACTTTTCTGAAATGCTCCTATTTATACCTTCCCTCCACTTTTATCCTTCCAGTTTTAAATAAACTGGATGGCTACAAATATCCTTTCTTTAGAAAAGATGTAGATGCTCAATCAACTTAGAGCGTGTCATATGATTTTTGGAGGTTATGTTTTTCCATCTTTCTATTGATGTTCTAGAGTGGAGATATTAGAGAAGAAAGTTAAGGAAAGCTTGGAATTTTGGTTTTCATGTGGAATCATGTTCCCTTGGTGATAATGCAAATAAACTATGCGCTAGGCAGTCTATACCATTATTAGGCTGTGATAACGAGAGTAGGTTAGGTGATTAGTCCCCTAAATCAGTTTTCTTCTTATTCAAACTGTAACACTTTGGTGAGAAATCTTTCATGTCTCAGATCTCACGAACCTATGCTGTAAGCAGTGCTTATTTCACATTATTTTCTTGACCAATTTTTTTGTGGAAGAGACCTCAAGAAGCAGAGTGCATTGACACTTATTTTAAGTTTAAAATCAAGGAGAAGAGAGGCGAGATCATCTTCAATTTTGAACAAGGATATATAATTGGTTATTCTTCGTCATTCCAATTAAGGTTCAGGCCTATTGTCAACCTTTTTCCCGTTTGCTTGAAACATGTTTAAAAAGGAAGATTTCTCCGAATGCCTGTATACAACTGAAATATTCTTTGGGCATACAATAACAATGTTCCATTTACACAATGTTTCTTTATTGATTTTTTTCACCATGAAGCCTGTGCTTTAACGGTTCAGTTTCTACGAAATAGCATGATGTTCGAAACTTTCTTTGAAAGTACAAAATTTTTCTTACACTAGGAATATGTTTATCAAAAAATGATTCTAAAAGATTGTCAGAGTTCAAGGCCAGTCTCTTTCAAACTTTCTATATCAGGTCTTAAGGAGGGACGATAATGGTCATATTGGGGGGGGGGACCAAATGTTTCGCTCATGGTCTATCCTAGATTCGCCTAAACAATTTCCTTCCTCCACTTGAATCATAGGACGAGTAAACTATCTTTTTAGTTTGACTTTATTGAATCCTACCTGAACTTTAATTCATGTTTACCCTTCATTTTCTTAACTTGGCACCTTTCTAAAATTGATGTTCCAATCTTCGGCATCAAAGCGTCTAAAAAAGATCAGCAAAAGTTAAGAACATTATGTAAATGAGAACATTCACTAAGAAGGGAACAGAATTATAGGCGCAATTTCGGTAGAATTATAACAACATGGTATCAATAATTTTGAGCAGTGTCATTGAGATTTTACATTATTATCAAAACAGCATTGGCATACAATTACTAGTGATTGTCAGTATTGCAGAAGCACAATTCTCCAACATTCTGTCCATAATTTCTGAAACTCCTATTTAAATTGAATACTTTTCTCATCTTTGATTGAGTCATTACTATTGCAAAAACAAGCTGAGATATTTTTTTATTTCCTCAATTGACTGTTTGTTTGCTTCAACCCTCATATAGTCCCATTCCTTATCTCGCAGAATTGTTATATTTCTTTCTTGTTTCTATGATACGTTTTAAGCCACTAAGGTTTGGCATACATAATTCTGTAACATCTCTGCCTTAAGTTTCAAGTTTCCATATGTATCTCTACCTAGGTTGCATGGGTACGGGTACGGGTACGGGACACGGCAAATTTGTAAAACGTAGGGTATGGGGACACGGCTATATATACACATGTCATGTATATTTATATGCATTAAAATTAATACTTAATAGTTTACATAAGATCAATATTGTTTTTCATTTACATAAGATCAATATATAAGAAATATATATGAAGTGTAGAATATACAACCAAGAAGCGCATGAGGAGTGTTTTAAATTAAACTATGTATTATATAATTGAGTATCGGCCCGAATAAACATATGCATATATTCAAGAAGTGTCCAAGAGGTTTGAGGTTTGGGTACAGGTATGGCTTCCTAATAAAAAGTACCCAGCTAACATAGATTCTTCATTCTTCATAAAGTTGTTGTTAGATATTGAAACCTATGATATTATGGTTTAGCAGTGCTCCATATCGACCACAATAATGAGCCTTTATCCTTATGTTTGTGTCCAATCCCAATGATGCATAATTGTAGCTTGTGGATTTAAACTCTCTGAAAAAAAACTTCAAGTGAATGCTCTAAATATTTGAATGAAAATTTATTGGATACGCTGCAGGAAACATGTATAGTGTATTACTGCCTAAGAGTTATGTTTAAGTTTTAATGTCTTCCTGGACTCGACATACTTAGTAAATGGTCTGTTTTTTATGGTTTTTCCTGATGTTAGTTCCTTAAATCTTTCATATTTTGAAATTAGTCCCTCAAATCATTGAAATTGCTATTAGCTCCCCCACAGTTCTCATAAGTTGTTTTATATTAATCCCTCCAGTTACTACTTATACTCTTGATTGGAGGGACTAATTTCAAAATAACTTACAAATGGAAGGCCCTAATAGAAATTTTGATGATTTGAGGGATTAATATTCAGATTAACGTAAGAATTGGTGGACCTAATAGCAATTACATGATTTGAGAGACTAATTACAAAAATATGAAAGATATCAGGGACTAATATAAAAAAAATACAGCATGGCATGTTTACTTCTCATATTTCTCAAAAATTATTTACAAAGCAAAACAATTTACCTTTATCCAATGTCCACAGGCCTTCAACTTTGCGTTCAAGGGTTATTTTCAGGGCCTTTTTGGCTCCTCAAGGGAAAAAGATGGATACGCAAAGCGGTTAGCGAGGAATGTTGCATCCGGTAGTGCTGCGGGCGCAACAACTTCACTATTCTTGTATCATTTGGATTATGCACGAACCCGGCTAGCCACAGATGCAATCGAATGCCAAACTAGAGGCAAGCGCCAGTTTAAAGGGCTTCTCGATGTTTATAAGAAGACACTGTCAAATGATGGCTTTGCTGGCCTTTATCGAGGTTTTGGGGTTTCCATAATGGGCATCACTTTGTATCGAGGGCTGTATTTTGGCATCTATGACACAATGAAGCCTATTGTTTTAGTTGGTCCATTGGAGGTGAGCCGTGTATACTTTTATCACACACATGTTCTTGATTTGCTTGTTGAAGTTTATACCTAACTATCAAGAACCATTACTATCTTTGTATTCCTAGTGTTAATAACTAATGCTAGTCCTCTGTTTGCTTCCCTTGGTTTTCTGTTCTACAATATTTTGGGTTAATTTTACAAAACCCCCTAAACTTGGGGGGGTTTTGCATTTAGCACCCTGAACTTATTTTATCTCATTGTCACATAATCACTTGAACTTTAAGGTGTCTCACAAAACCCGCCAAACTTTAAACTTTTCTCACCCAAGCCCCCAATCTATAATTTGCAAATAACTAAAATTTCCTCGAGGGACCCCCCCTCTTCCTCAATTGGGGGAGTGCGTATGTTGGCAGTCAAAGACAAATGACTAAAATTTTAGTTTTTTTTTTCTCGTAGGGACATTTTAGTTATTTTACCCTATGTGAAAATTTGGCAGATATTGCCAAAATTATTGTGTTTATACAAGGGTAAATAATGAAAAGAATCTAACCCAGGGGGCTTTATGCGGTAATGAAACTATGGGCGTAGTAAGTGCAAAACAACAATTCTACAAGGTCTCTATTTGCAATCAATGCAATCTTTTTTCTTCCCTTAGCATGAGTGCACTTGTTAGTTTCTGTACATTAATATGAATAATCACAAACATCTTTCCCCATTTGCTCAAGCCCAAGTTGAAATGTTTTGATCACCTTGTATAGTTTTATTGTATCTCCAAGTTTTCCTCTATGCATCACCTCGTATTGTATCTCCAAGTTTTTCCCTTAGCATGAGTCGCCGTTTCTTTTGATCTCCCTCAGGAATGATGATGCATAAGCTTAATTATTTGATGTTTACAAGCTGGTATTAGTTTACTGTAAAAGTTGTAGAATGTCCATCACTCATTTTCCTAGCCTCGTAATTTCTAGTTATTCGGTCACCTTAATGTTGGTTAACGAACTGTCGATGCTTTCTTTTGACATTTACATGCCTTCTCTTCTTTCTTATTGCAGGGTAACTTCTTAGCGAGTTTTTTCTTAGGATGGAGCGTGACGACAACATCCGGGATCTGTGCTTATCCTTTTGATACATTGCGCAGAAGAATGATGTTGACTTCAGGACACCCTTCCAAATACAAAAACGCCCTCCATGCCTTTCGACATATTGTTAGCCATGAAGGCTTCTCTGCTTTGTTTAGAGGAGTGACTGCTAATATGCTCTCTGGAATGGCTGGCGCAGGAGTTCTTGCAGGCTATGATCAGCTGCGTCGGTTTGCATGCAGGCACGGTTACGGATTCCAACAAAAGAAGAGAGCAGGCTTGAAATGATGAAATGTTTTTAGAAACTTTGTCGTGGAAAAAAAGGGTAATAGAATTAAACTGTGGAGTCGTATCCGGACATATTCAGCCGTGTAAAGGGAATGATACGCCAACATTCATCTGATATAATTCACCAAATGTACATATTACTGATTGAGCTGTAAAATTTACGGTCACCGTTTTGTTAAACATACATTGCAATAATGGAGCAAAAAAATGAAACTATGTTCACGCCATTGACTTGTTAGCTTTATCAGTTGCCATCAATGCCTTACCTTTCGGGGATTTCGAGGTTTCCAAGGTTTCCAGCTTACTGTTGTTAGCACTTGATACAAAATGCCTGCTTCATTGAGATGCACGCTACTAGATTGAAAGGTCGCTGCTTTTATACTTACCAGCAAGAAACCCGGTATATGTTGAAGAGCTTGTTGCTTGTTTTGCTTGTTATTTTGTTCTTGAACTATTGCTATCATATGTTTATCAGGAATTCACCTTGCATCCATTTGGTTGAATATCTGAGTTGGACTAATAGGTGACCCATATATGCTCTCATACATCCTGATTTCATTTTTTGATAGGTTTCTTTACCGTCCAAGAGGAGGAACAGATGGTAGAAGAAAAATTTTCACGGCGAGGTACGATGATTGATTACTACGAGGTCAAGGTCAGATTCTAAGCTTGTAGTCCCCTTTTATCTCAGTAAGGGAAAATTAGTCAATGATCCTTCGCAACAGTATGGTTGATTGCCGACAACAGAATAATCCTTAAATCAGTGCAATAATCTTCAAATCCTCTTGCATTATATTAATCCAATGGTAGAAATATCTTGATGCACTTAATCAATATAGACCACTTGTGATGTAGAATGCGCTACGGATCCATTCATGGAGAAACCGAATCGTCAGAAATGCAAAGAGGGGCTAGTAGAAGAAATTGACTTGCAACGAAAAACAAGTCTTATCTCCCAAACCGTATCTCAGAATTGGACGAATAATATATCAAAATCACATATTTTCCGAGGTAAAGTCAACCAAACCCGCCGTTAGTTGGTTTGACGTCGTTTGTTTTGCGAATTTCCCTCCAAATTGAGAGATATTGGACTTGTTGTCAGTTTTTTACTATTTTGTGTAATGTTTTAGGAGCCTGTTTTGATTAGGAAACAAGTCCACTTTGATTCCAAATTTTGACTGATTGATTTCCTCAATTATAGGGAGTCTTTTAAGAGTAGTTTTGTTATTTCTATTTTCAATAAAGTTCGGGCAATAATAGGAGTCTAGTTTGTTTTTATATTCAAGCAGATGATTATAAGCCTTAGAGGTCTAACTTATTATCAATAAAATTCCTCTTATATTATTTTTCTTCGTGGATTCAAAGATGATTCTTTGTGGGTTTAAAGAACAACTCTTGATAGGCTTATCGCTTCCGTGCTGCGTTAACTTGATGATCATTGTTATGAACTGTTAATTCTTTAATTTATAAATGTCTTCATTTGCTCTGTTTTTGTTAAAGGTCTTTAATAGAAGCAGGGATTATTCCCTCCATTTACCTTTAAATAAAAAGGAACTTCCAGCAACAACCAAACTTTCTTGTGAACAGGCCAAAGCCGCATAATTGTAGCTGTTTTATATTCCGTCTTCTCCCTCTCTACGCATCTCATCTATGTGTCAACCGGTGGTCACTACCCATTGTTGCAGTTCCCACGTCCATCATGCCTGCTTCTATGTACGCCGAACTGTACACCTCTCAATTCATTACTGTTTCTTGAATATATACAATCTTTGATTCATATCACCACACGAATACTTTTCCTTCGTTTCTCTCTATCAAATTCATCCTCGGAGAGGTTTGGCTAGCTGTCTTGAAACTCTAGTTGTCAGCTTGACTTGACAGGGAAGGATACCACGAATCCTGCAACCACCCAATTGCCTTCAGACAGTTTTCCTCGTTGCATAAGAGCGTTTTTTGCACGTAACATGTTGTAGATTTTTGTGAGGTTATAGTTCCACAATGGAGGGGGGAAAAAGAAATACAGTAGAAGGAGAAAAAGACTGATTTCACTTTCTCAACGATAGTGTAATATTGCTATGCATTTGATCATTTATGACAATGAGGCATGTCTTCGAGTTTTTTTTTTTTTGAAATACTCTTTTATTCCTTTTCCACAAGTGAAAGGCCTAAAATAGTAATGAAATTAAATAAACAAAAAAGTCAGGACTAATATTGTTTTATCTGTATCGGCTATTAATTAACTCAAATACTGGCCAACAAGAAACCACAAAGCGGGTTCCATAACCACAACAATCCTGTTCTCCTCATTCAGTTGATACTAACCACTTCTATTCCCCCCCTTAAATACAAACCCACACCGCATACACTTTCTCATCATGTGTAAAATCTCACAGTACTCATCATGTCTTCTTCTTCTTCTTCCTCCCTCCAATGGCTAAGCTTAGTTGCTACAATCTGGCTTCAAACCGTCAATGGCCCAAACTCAGATTTCCCCATTTACTCATCTCAGCTCAAACAAATCCTCTCCATCTCTCAAGTCCAGCTGAATAACCTAGCATTCGCATCCGATGCAGGAAAGCTCTTCGGCTGGTGCTCTGGCGTCGCCACCGCCTATCTCCCCCTCCGACTCGTTCTACTCATCGGTGCAGCTTTCGGACTCATCGGCTATGGCATCCAATTTCTGTTCCTGGCTAACAAAATCGCGTATCTATCATATTGGCAAGTTTTTATGCTAACTGCCTTAGCTGGAAACGGCATATGTTGGATAAATACAGTATGTTATCTCATATGTACGCGGAACTTCTGTCCTGATAGCCGTATTGCTGCCGGATTATCTACGAGCTATGTTGGATTGAGTGCTAGGGTTTACACTGCTCTGGTTGATTTCATCTTTAACCCTGAGCCTGGCAGAAAAGCGAAGGCTTATTTGTTACTCAATGCCAGTGCACCAATCTTTATCTCTGTAATGATGATGCCACTGCTGAAAGTGATCAAGGTCGATGAGGGATCATGTTCTGGTGGTGATGTAGAATTCTTGGTGATGTTTGTTATCACGTTGGCGACTGGAGTTTGCGCAGTTTTTGGTAGTATTGGATCTGGGCGTGTTTGGTCGACTGCGCATATTGTGAGCTTAGGAGTGCTTCTGCTCTCTCCAATTGCACTACCGATGTTTTTGAAGGTCAAAGAACGAGTAGAAGAAAGACTAAGGAGTACAAAGGAAAGTAAGGTCCATGTTCTCACGATTGAGGAAGTTGAAGACGGCGAAAGAGTTACAGAGTCTGAAGAAGATAGCGAAAAATTTAACCAAAAAGATGTTGAAGAAGGAGAGGATAAGGAAGAGGAAGTTGGATTTAGGACTCTCGTGAGGAAGTTGGATTTCTGGTTGTATTTCTTTAGTTACATGTTTGGTGCTACGCTTGGTTTGGTGTTCTTGAACAACTTGGGTCAGATTGCTGAGTCTCGTGGGCTTGTCAAGACTTCATCTTTGGTTTCTTTGGCTTCCTCTTTTGGATTCTTTGGGCGTGTTATGCCTCCTCTTCTCGACTACTATTTTGCAAAGTAAGTTTGCTAAAAATCTTCCTCTTTGTCTGTAGGAATTACAGAGAATATTCCTACTTAGATTATTTTTTTTTTAAAAAAAGTTCATTGCAGATATTGTCTCTAAATTTTTTTATTAACATCTAAACCCTTTGATGTCCAAACACAGTTATCTCTCCGATATCTATATAGCGTTGATGTAGTTGTCGCATGGCGTCAAGGTATGACAGAGAATGTCTCGATATTTTAGTGTTCTATAGAGCAGGCTCTCTATTCTCCCTATAGCAAACTATGTACAGTGAAAAGATGATCTTGTTTGGCATTAAATGGTCTTAGTAAGTGGTAATAAAAAAGTTTAGACACCAAGGGAATTACCTCGTATAGTACCTCGAGTATACCTGCATTAACTCTTAGAAAATGACATTTCACCCTCTCTCATTTTCAATTTATATCAAGTAATTATTGTTTTTTTTGAATGATTATCAATTTTAAATATAGTAGTTACACGCACAATATACGCGAGTGCAAATAATTGTCATGTGTTATAATCACCGTTTTCGCGCTGCTCAACGTAGCTTACAGGAATTGAAATTGAACTGGAAATCAAAATGGAGGGACTACATTGTCAGTTCTGTATTTGAGGATAATTTACCCTATTTTTCCTTTTACATCTCTTACATTTTCTTTTTTGCATTTTATCCAGGAAAGGACGCACAATATCAAGGCCAGCATTCATGGCAACGATGATGGCTCCAATTGCAGGAGCCTTCATCCTCCTCCTCAACTCAACCACCCTCTTCTTATACATCGCCACAGCGATCATCGGAGCGTGTTCAGGCTCCATCACCTCCATCGCTGTCTCTGCAACTCCTGAGCTTTTTGGTACCAAAAATTTTGCGGTAAACCACAACATTATTGTTACAAATATACCGATAGGATCTCTTGTCTTCGGTTACTTTGCCGCAGTTTTGTATCAGAGAAAAGGAGGGAGTGAGAGCTGCGAGGGGACTAAATGCTACTCTCAAACCTTCATCATTTGGGGTTCAGTTTGCTCCATTGGGACTGTTCTTTGTACCATCCTTTATATTCGAACTCGTAGATTTTGTTCGAGCTAGGACTAATCCTCTAACTGTTGCTGATCTAGTGTGTAATGTTAGATCGATGTTATGTAGTGAAAAGAAAAAAAAATCTCAATAAACTCTAAAGCGGTTAGTGTTAAGAACAAATGTTTGATTGTTATATTTTGTTAATAATAACCTGCAACACTAAGATTTAATACTTTGCAGAGAGTAGTTTTGTTTCACAAATTAAGTCCAACACGATAGTTCACTTGTGAATTTAATTTCGTGGTAGCTTAATGCTTATGGTATTTTGGACAAATTTTTAAAATGAACCCTTTTAAACATTTATTTATAACTTTTGACCCAGTCCTAAATTAATTAGCAATTTCGACTAAAGTTCATGAAACTAGGTCGAAATTGCTAATTAGAACTTCACGGGATTGCCAATTCCATGAAGTTTTCTATGTTTAAACTTCAAGGAATTGCCAACCCCATGAAGTTTTATTTACCAATTTCGATGTGGTTTCATGAAACTAGGTCAAAAATGCTAATTTAGGACTGGGTTGAAAATTGTAAATAAATGTTTAAAAAGGTCAATTTTAAAATTTCCGCCGGTATTTTTTGGTCCACAAAGTCCCACGCGAGAGTTCAATTATGCATCTAATGTTATATTGCGAGCAGTTTGTCTTCCTTGCAACAAAAATGCATGTTTCTAGTATTTTGAAGTGACATCAGGTTTGTGTTTAGCATTTTGTCTTCATTGGCACTGCAAACTCTAGTAGATGCATTCATTATGAGCTGTAGTTTTTAGTTGTGTATTTATTCTTTCATCATGTCCTACATGCTGACTGAAGTTAAAGAGGTTGCTTTATAATAGTACAACATTTGATGACCTAAAGAGATAGGCGTCAAATTCTCATTAAATATAGTAATGTTCAGTCTATAGTTTTTCTTTTCACCGATATATGAATTAATGTGTACATGACAACAGAAATAAGTGAAAGGGTTTTGTTAACGAGTGTCCCTCGGATACTCATTAGTGAAGAGAGATAGCTCTCTA